CATTAGCGACATTAACCTCGGTGTGGGTGGAGTTGTTTAGTGATGAAACTTGTCTAGAATCACAAGTCATATGTTCAGTAGCTCTGGAATCAATTATCCATGTATTATTCATAACAAAAGTGGAAACATTAAGTGCCTTATCCTCGATACCTACCGCGGCAATCAGAGTCGATGATTGGCTTGCTACAGTTGCTGAATCATCCTTGGTTTCTGCAACGGAGGCTCGAGGTTTGTTGAAACGAGGATCCCGTGTCTTATCCCAATTCTTGGGATACCCAATCAACTCAAAAAACCTACTCTTGGAGTGTCCCATTATACCACAGTGTCGACATTTACCCAAAGGACGATCATGATTTGCTTGGCCGGTTTGTGGTTGTCCGAACTTACTCTCGTACCCACCTCGATCAGTTCGATTGGAGGGAGCTCGGGCCTTGACTTCCATTGCTGCCATTTCAAAATGTTAGTCCTCCATTTTCATGGCTTACTTGCGATCCGCTTCACGTCGAACATACGAATAAGAAGCTTGAAGTCCGAGCGGTGGATCTTTGCGTAATATTTCTCCACGAACCCGATCAAACACATCATCAAGTCCTCCAAGAAATAAATACACCCTTTGTCACTCAATTGTTTTATGAAATATCTAGACATCTTTGTCACACGTCATGGCCACCTTGTTAAAATGGTCCAATTCCTGAAAGATCTCTATCAGCTCTCCAAAGTAGTTAGCCAAAGACTGTCCATTTTTCCTAAGACGTGAATCCTTCTAATTCAATGAATAAATTTTGGCCTCATCGTTCTCATCAAAATAAGCAGTCTTGAGAAAATCCCAAATTTTTTTCGAAGTTGACAATCAAATGTAGCATTTCATAATTTTCGGCTTCATCGTTGACAAGAGCCAACTCTTAATTCTTTGATCTTCAGATAACCAATCATCATATTTAGGATCATCCTCTTGGGGTGCCTTGATGGACCAACAAAGATATCTCATCTTCTTCATTCCGGCAATATGAATCTGAATAAGAGGAGCCCATAATTCATAGTTCTTCTCATCCAAAAACATCCCAATGTTAAAGTTTGAATTATCCGACTGCACCATAACTGGGGCAGTAACGAGAACCACCTAGCTATCCTTGGCAAACATCTTCCACTAAGAATGGTAATCTGTGCAGTGGCAAAGGTAGGAGTTCGAAACAAAAAATGGTCATCGAAATTTGGCAGACTCCGATAGCACCCTATGAACCTAGAACAATACTCGAGCAGTAACGACACACGTCACTCACTGCAGTTGGGGGCAAAAAACAGAGAACAACAACGATAACAAGTCGTTCACTGTGCGTTGGAGACGAAAGACGCATTAGTGATGCTGGGCACAACACGGCAACACAAACCCAGTTAGGGTTCAAAGTTTTTCCTTTCTTTTTACGACCTGGCTCTGATGCCAAGAAGAGAATGCTTTGAATAATGTATTTTATTCTTCTCATTCAAAGGTATATATAATCATATACAATCCTACTATAAACAGGAAAAAATAATTACATGATAATTACAAGATAATCTATACAAAGTCAACAACTACCATGGATGATTATACTGCATTTAAATTATTGGCTCATAGCTTAGTTTCTATTGTCATAAAGTTAAAAGGCCTCCATGAGTTATGCTTTTCCAGAAAGCTTGACGTCGACAATATGCTTCACTTGGTGCTCACTTGGAGAACCAACCACAAATTAGTGTTCTAAAAATCGGCCTAGGTGCTAGACAGTGACCGACTATTATTAACTCCTTCTTGGTCACAAAATCGGAAAACGTATTAGGCGGACACCTAGGTGGGATTAGGCGGGTCTAGGCGAAGCTTTGCAAGTCTGGACGGGGCTAGGCGGAAGCTAGGCGGGCATATAAGAAGATGCCGAGATCTAAATTTTTTTTATCAATCTGGAAAAATGATGTTGCAGGTTGCGAGGAAGAAGATGAACGGGTGGGGACCACCATATTAACTTTCAATTTAAACGGATGGGTGAATTCTTTATGGTCCCACCATCCCTTTTATTTTGGTTGCACGGGTTTCCTCTTCCTTGGTCCTAATAACTCTCTTTACCATTTTTTTCTTTCTTTTTTTTTTATCACAAAGTCAACTTGCATTAATATAAAAACTAGTTTAAAACCCATAAAGGACCATGTAAACAACTATAAGGAAAGTAAAATGCCTAAGCAAGATGAGAGCATCAACCCAAGATACAATGGGATGCCCACATAAGCTTAGGTCCGAAGGTAGAAAATAGACAATTAAAAAATCGTAATCTTCAGCAGCAAATACCACATCACCGCTGTCGTCTCATCCTTGGAGGAAGCCAAACTCCGAACCGAGAAAGTAGACACCAGATCCAATTCTCCTTCACGAACACCTATAAATATGTATAAACAAAGTATCATATAAGTAAAGGGTGAGGCTAAGGGGGTATGTAAAATACGCAACACTTGGCCTTGATGGGGCTACAACATAGTTATACCGTTTGGAGGGGGAAAGTGAAGGAGAGTAGTAAATTTGGTATCCCATTCCTGGTCGGAGCTCGCCTATCCGAGTACATGGTGGGATAAGGATGTAGTATCATAGCTAAGGAGGAGGGAGGACAAAAAATTAAAGGACAGAAAGTAGTAAAAGTAGGCAAAAGATGTCGGATAAGGGGCATGAAGCCCAGATCTGAGACAAGCTCAGGGAATAGTTGAGACCCAGCTCAAGAGAAACTAAGATAAACTTAGAGAGAACCGAGAATAAAACAAAAGAAGGAGACTAGAAAGAAGAGCGGAAAAGATAGATGCATGGAGGGGGATGAAGCAGAAAAAGTGAGAGGGGAGGAAAAGAAGAAAAAGGCAAATGAGGGAAGGAGATAAGAAGGGAAGAAGAAGACTGGAAAAAGGAGGAAGTAGCAGGTTGCCTCCTACCTGAAGCAAGAGCATAGGGCGGCGGTTGCAAGTTGAAGCTAAAGAAAAGGCTTTGGATATGGGTTTTTAGAGAGAGAAACTAAGAGAGAGAGAGAAAAAGAGAGAGAGAGAAAAAAAAAACGCAATTGTCAATATCTTTTATTTCATTTTCAAACCATTTACATAAACTGGTAAACTGAATAATAACTCTCTTTACCATCTCCTCAATTTTCTATTGTTTTGTTATTCATTTTTCTTTTAAGACCGTATGTATTTAAACCCTAACATCACATATATTATTTTAAAAGAAAAGACATATTATTTATATATTATATTGTAAATTTAATTTATTTATATTAAATTTACATAAATCCGGCTAGTCCGCCTAGGCACTAGGCGCTAGCTCGCCACTCGACTAGCGCCTAGCGTCTTTTAGAACCTTCCACAATTGTGTGCTTTCCAGTTACCAACTTCCTCTTTCCTTCACTATCCACAAGGCTCATTCTCTTGCACACATCCAACCCAATTGTCACATACTTTGTCACCCCATTCTTCACCTCCACCCTTTTAAATTCTACCAACTACAACTTTGGTGCTCCCATCAACCTCCCCGAGCTTGCCGGCTTCCAAAACACGATCACCACATGGCCCCAATCCCTTGACCAGTTGTTTTTCATGCTGACAAGAAGGTTAAATTTTAAATTTGTGCAGTGTATTTTTGACACACCAACTAGTTTGCCTTCTGAGTTAGAGTCTGAAACGGGTTGAGAGGTTGACTTGGAAAATCGAAGGTTATTATGATGAGTGGGGGTTAAATGAATGTGTAATGAGGAAGGTGAAAACACTAATAGGAAAAACTATTTGGGCGACAGATGTTTGTGCGACAAAGCAAAATCCATCACGCAAGTGAGTTTTACAGAACGAAACAATAGCGTTGTAGCACAAGATTGGTGCCATTTTGCATGACAGAGCTCTTTGTCATGCAATACAGTTTGCATGATGCAAAAAATATGCTTGTCGTGCAAGGTCAGTAAGAAAAGCGTGGGTAATTTTTTTTGGCACGAAAAAAAATACGCGACGAAACTTTTCCCGCGGCAACCTTGGGTGACAAAGTCATCGTCGTGCAAAGTTCTTTCAATTTTTGGGTCAGAACATACAATGCATGGTAATCAGCGGAGCACTTTGCGCGGCAAAGGCTTCGTCGCGCAAAGTCTAATTTGTTTTTTAGTCAGAGCATTTAGTGCATGTGAATCAGAGGAATCAATACTATATTTAGTGCAAAGGTTTGCGCGACAAAAGGCTTCGTCGCGCAAAACCCCTAACCTTCCTATTAATATGCGCGTCTGCTTTCCTTATTCTTCACAATTCTCTTTGTGCTTGAATGGAGGATAAAACTGGGAGCAGGGCATGCCCTCCAGGCCCTATGATATGAGGCAATATGTGGAGTTTGCGCATGCAATTGGTGTAGCAATGTAGAATAATTGTCCTACTGCTGAGTGGTATCCTTGGAAATATGTGCCCGAGAATGTGAAGAAGGCAGTGATGGATCAGTTATTAGTAAGTGTGACAAATGTTGAAAATAAGAAATTTTGTGAAATTTTTTGTTATATGTTGGAATTAATTATTTGCATATATGTGTAACAATGTAACTATACCATTGATGATACGAATGAAGAGTTGATGAAGTTAATGGAGATGGCTTCTCCATCAGAAGGGGGGTTACAAGTGCTGGCGTTATGAAGTTGAGCAGAATGGAGGACCAGTGAAACAGTAGTTTTAAATTTATGTTTTTGAGGACAATTAGGCTTTAATTCATGTTTTGTTGTTTAAAAAATTGCATGGATTAATTCAATTTATTCAAGTTTTTAATTATTTTTAGAATAAATATTATAATTGAATATTTGTTTGTAATTATGAAGTTTATGTAAATATATATACTAAAGATCTATATTTACGTAAACTTCGTAATTACAATCAATTACATTCGTAGCGCAAAGGCCGCAAAAAACGTGGTTAACTTTACTGCCATATTTCGAATCTATATGTTTTGCGTGACGAAACCTTCGTCGTGTCAAGTGATGAAAGTTTGTACGACAAAGGCTTCGTCGCACAAAGGTCATTCAGTTTTGGGTTAAAGCATTCAATGCATGTGAATTAGAGGAATCAGGATCATATTTTGTGCGGATGTTTGCGCGACAAAGGTTTCGTCGCGCAAAGTCCTTAACCTTCCTATAAATATGCGCTTCTGCTCTCATGGTTCTTCACAATTTGTTCCAGAAACGCTTTACAATTTTTCAGATTATCATCAATTTGTTCTTTGATTGTTGGTATAATGGGCGATGGTGGTGCGCGTTCATCAAAGACAATGGATGGCGAAGGTTCCAAAAAAGGTTTGCGCTATAAATTTTGCATTTTGTATAAAGTTTTTATTTAGCTTAAGTATTATGAATATATATATATATATATATATATTTGTTGATAGACAAGAAGAAAAGAGCTGCGGTACGGGTTCGACACACTTACGGGTTGTGAAGTCAGATATGCGCACTAGTTTTTGGTTCGACGTTGGAGTATTGTTGTGTGACAAATATGTTGCAGATTTGGAGTCTAGGAAAGCCATCCTTGAGGAGGTGAACATGCACATGATTGATGAGTTAGCTGTATATGTTAAGTTATTAGTTAAATAATAATTATGTATAATAGTGAGATTTTTATTTATTAATTTTCGCATGACAGCCTAATTGGGACATTCGTAAAAATAACCCAAATTTGATGAAGACAATCGATAACATGTTCAAGCCTCGTATCTAGGAGTGGAAGTTTGATAATCAACGTGAGGCTGAACTACAGCGAGAACCAGAACTATCGGTGGAGGAGTAGAATAGTGTTTTTTATTTTAATTTTAGTGCTTATTTAATAATGAGATATGAATTAGAACTTTTTTATTATGAACGGTTTACTTAAATATGTCCTTAATGTTTATTTTGAATAAAATTAATGCATTTTAATAAATATTTATATTAATTAATTATGCATAAATGGTTTAATGAAATAAGTTCTTGATTTATTAAGTATTTATGTGGTTTGAAAAAAATTGAAGACTAAATGGAAAAATTCAATTCATTTTTCAAAAAACGAGTTTTTTTAATAAAAAAAGGTAATGCGTGACGAAGTATGTTCGTCATGTAAAGGGTTATAAAAAACACGACAAAGCGTGGTTGGATGGCGCCAAAAGTGGAAGCAGCATGTTTTGCGCATCGGTGCTTTCGTCGCGCAAAGTCTTATCACTTTACTGAATTTAAACAGAATGCAGAAGCTGCAAAACACTTGCAGCAACTGCCTTTATGCTGGAATTTCCAGCTTTTGAATCTGTGTTGCCGTTAATCTTGGAGGTATACTTTCTTAACAAACTTATTTAATTTCCATTCATTTAAATTGTGTGTATGTAGTTTATAATTGTTGTGAGTTTATTATTTGTATGCAAACATTTTTGTATGGATGTACAAAAAAATGGTATGCAATGTTTATATGAGCTTAGTTTCTCGTTTGAGAATTAGTTGGATTTCACGAATGAATGCGAAAGCATGATTGCGGTCTAATTAATTCTTGAATTGTCCCAAAATATTAGACAGTTTGAGAATGCATAGTTACATGTTGTATTTTGAGGTTCACGCATTAGAGTTTAAACATGGGAAATTTGGTAGCATCTCTTTGCCTTCTTCAGGTGCATTGTAGTTTTTTGTATCTACGTCGTGCACTTAAAGAACTGTAGGGAGATGCTACCGAAGTTTTCCCATGATCGAACTCTAATGTGTTGGAACCATAAATTACAGCACGTAACTGTGCATTCTCGAATGAGATAAGACCCATACCGGAGGCATAAGGTGGCATAACATTATTGAAATTGTTGTAACCCTTGTAAATTGTTTATGTTTGCAGGTGATATAAACAAACAGTTGATAGGGGTGGGCATTTGGAATCGAAAACCGAAACCGAAACACGAACCAAATCAAACTTCACCAAACGGTTTGGTTTTGCGGTTTTGAAACAGTTTCGGTTTTGAAACCGAACTGCAATGTAGGAAATGGTTTGGTTTCGGTTTTGTCTTTTGAAAACCGTATCGAAACCGAAACCAAACCGAAACCGCATGACTTTATTAAATGTTAAATTCTAATTGGTTATTTAATTGAGTCCATACATTTAGTATGGACTCAACAACATCATAATATAGATTGTGTTCCTCTTTTATTTGCTTTCCAATCATCTGTAACAAATTAAATCCTTGAGTTTTAGTCAAACCTCCAGTTCCGAAATTTTCATAGTTTTAAAATTGGAAGGTTCAAAATGTGTAGATTCAATTCTTTGATATCATAAATCTCATAACTCTACTTATAGTGGCTTAATAGGGTACAAGTAATTTATAGCTAATGCTAGTTCTGTTGGTCTTGCGGACGAGGAAAATTTGCCTCTCATGGGGTCTATATTCCCATGTTACTATAGCTCTCAATGCACTATGCCACGTGATGAAAGCTAGATGAACATGAAGATATACACCCCGTTACAGGGGAGTCCTTCTCCTTAGGGAAGGAAAGAAAGATGAATAGAGGTGGAGTATATCATACGGAGTATGTAGATACGTAGTTTCAGCATTTTCAATGCTGTGAGTCTGTGACAACATTGCTCGGAACAATTATGATTTGATTTTGATATAGTTAGATGATCATCAAGATGGTAGTGTGTTGGAATACAGAACTGTCTAAGAAGATATTCTTGAGGCGAATGTGGCATCTCCAGTTGGTTTATTGAGGATTATGGATATGGCACATTGATAGCATGATGTGCATGAAGTAGACAATATGAACTGAGTGCATTTCTTATATTTATTCTTTGATATCCTTAAGCAACTTATGAATTAGTATCCCTTACTTCGTTCATAGGTTACAAGATTATTTTGTAGAGATATCCATTGCCACAATTGTCGATGAAAGTGAGAGATTAAAAATTGACACTAAGCACCTTCAGGAGCTTAGCTTTCGAGTTGGATCGGTCTACCAATTTGTCGGCGAGCTGCTTATTCAACCAGACAACGAGGTTAGTGGTAAATTACAATTACTTTCACTTGGTGATTTTTGGTGCCGATCTTTTATATGAGTCGCAAAGTAAGTTGAAACATCAAAACTTTTTTATTGAATTGGATGACCAATTATTTTTCGTAATGTCATAATGCATTAGGTAACCATAATAGTTTTTTCAAACACCAAAACTTTTGTATTGAATTGGATGAAATGAGATACAACTAGGTAACCATAATAGCTTTTTTAAACAATGAAACCAAACCAAAACCTTTTAAAACCAAACCGAACCGAACCAAATGGTTTGGTTTCATTTCGGTTTTAGCCTCAGAACCGCATCGAACCAAATTGCAAAAACTTGCGGTTTTGGTTTTGGTTTCACTCAAAACCACACCAAACTGAACAGCGCCCACCCCTAATAGTGGATACATAATCCTAACAGATGTGCTGATCATTATTTGGATGGAATAAATCAGTTCATCAACCGGGGTTCAACTCAAATTCGGTGTCCTTGTAGAAAGTGTAACAACTTAATGATTGAATATTTTGAATTGTTATATACCATTTAGTCAGAAATGGGATGATGAAGACCTATACTACGTGGAGTCATCATGGAGAACAAATACAACATGCTTCATCCTCACACATTACTCGAGTTATGGAGATAGTTGAATCTGTTGTAGACCCAAATGAACAAATTATGGACATCATCAATGATGCTTTTCCAAACGCTAGTTCGAATACAAATGATGAAGTAAAAGATGACGTCTCTCCCACCATGGACAGTGAAGCATTTGAAAAATATGAAAAACTATTAAAAAGTGTCAAGCAAGAATTATGCCCTGGTTGTGAAAAGATTTTATGTGCTCACAACCATTGTTGAGTTGATGCATGGCAAAATAAAGTTTCGTATGTCGAACCAGCATTTTGATTACTTTTTAGGGGTTTTCAAGAGGATGCTTCCAAAGGATAATTTTCTGCCAAAAGATCATAAAAGTGCAAAGAAGATGCTGAGTGGTCTTGGATTGGGATATGAAAAAATTCACGCGTGTAAAAATAATTGCATTTTGTTCTACAAAGAGAATAAAGCGTTGGATAATTGCCCTGTATGTAATGAGTCGCAATTTAAAATGACTTCTCAGAATATAACAACGAAGATTTCACAAAAGGTTATGCGTTATCTCCCATTAAAGCCTAGGTTGCAACGATTGTATATGTCGACGCACACTGCAAGCGACATGAGGTGGCATAAGGAAAGATGAGTGGGTAACGATGTTATGAAACATTCTGCAAATGGAGAGGCCTAGAAAGAGTTTGATCAGATGTACCTCGATTTTGCACGTGAGCCTCAGAAAGTTAGATTAGGACTTAAGACAAACTGGTTTAATCCGTTTAGGGTTCTAAACCAAAACCACAGCAATTGGCCACTCTTCGCAATTCCGTATAATTTTCCACCTTGGAAGTGCATGAAAAAAAAATATATGATGATGAAATTGTTGATAACGAAAGATTCAGGCACGTCTAGTGATGTTTATTTACAACCATTGGTCAATGAACTAAATGATTTATGGAAAACCGGTGTTCCCACGTATGATAAACCTACCAAGAAGATGTTCACTTTGAGAGCAAGAGTGATGTTGACTATAAACGATTTTCCTGCGTACGATATGATGTTTGGGTAAAGCACTAAGGGTTATTACGCATGCCTAGTTTGCAAAGAGAACACTACGTCTGGTAGGCATGCGAGAAAAGTTTGTTACCTAGGGCATCGTAGATGGTTGCCATGGGACCACCAGTGGCGTCAGAACCAGACAACCTTCTTCAAAGGCACATAGCTTCGACCAAGACCCAGAGAATGGTCTGGAGATGAAATTTTGGCTCAGGTGAATCGTTTGGATTTTGCTCGGTTAGGAAAATATGTAAATAAGACAAGACTAGAGACATCTAAACTGGACACATAAGACAAAGTTGTTCGAGCTCCTGTACTGGTCCAAATTAAAATTGAGACACAACATCGATGTAATGCATGTTGAGAAAAATGTGTTTGATACATTGGTCAAAACTATACTAAACATCGAGGGAAAAACAAATGACACAATAAAAGCTCGGATCAATTTGGGAAAAATGGGCATTAGGCCAAGTTTATGGATGACGAGGGACGGAGACATAGCAAGAAAGAAGCTTGCATCATTTTCAGTGAAACCGGATAAGAGGAAAGTTTTTGCAGTTTCTATCTTATGTACAGTTTCCGGATGGGTATGCTTCAAGAGTTTTGATTGTCATGTGATATTTCCATACCTTCTCCCAATGAGAATTCGATACCTCTTGCTAGAAGATATGGTGAAGCCGATAAGGGCAAATTGACCACTTAAAAAACTTGACGGTAGGGGGGAAATTGGCCACTTAAACATAGTCCAGAGGATCAATTAGCTGAAGAAAAAAAGGTTCAAGGGGGAAATTGACATTCACGTAATAGTTTAGAAGGTTAAACGGCAGTTTACCTTTTAAATTAAGCCACATAATAGGTCGAGACAAGCTAATCTATGAGCCCCCACGTTGGCTTGATGACAAATGTGGGTAATTGAAGCTTTAGTAACTGCCAGAGAGAGCATTTTGATGTCTTCAATTATTTGCCCGACAAATGACAAATTAACCAAAGAATCCCATAGTGCATTGACAATTTGAAGCAAATCAGACTTGCATAAAATATTAGTAAAGCCCTTTTCATGAGCCCAAATCAAGCCAATTCTAATAGCCATAACTTTTGACTGGAGGAAACATCAAAGAAATTCCCACATTTTGCAGCAAAAAAACCTTCAGTATCATTACGTGCAATTAAACCAAATCCCTCTAAGCTTTTCTCGCGATTCCAAAA